ACATTTTTTAAACCACTCACAATAGCAAATATACCCAAATGATCAGATATTACAGGATCGTAGACACCTGTATTTAAATTTTGTTCATTAATATTAGTAAATATATTATTAAGACAAGAGCTTGAAGTAAGTGACACTCTTGTGGGCGCTTTTATGAAATGTTTTAAACCGTACATGGTTAAGAAATTTCGTATTTCACAAACATGCCCTGTGTTCACTTCCATATTTATGTTAATGTCACCAAGTATCATTATATTTTCATATTTTTTAAAGGCGAAATCAATTAAAGCGTATAACTTAGCTTTGAAAACAGTAATATCCCCATTACAGGATCGATAAAGTGCAATTATCAGAAAACGATTATTTTTAATTTCAACACCACAGAATTCAGCATTCAATGGATCACAAAATTTGTTTAAATCAACAGGCTCAAGTTGAATATGTTTAGAACCATAGATAGCTACACCTCCATGTAGTCTGCTTTCTCTACAATATGAAGTGACAAGTTGAAAATTGTCCAAGTTTATTCTTTGTAAATTATCAGAATTTAACCAGTGTTCCGAAACACAAAAAATGTCATACTTATTATCTTTAAAAAATGCATTTAATTCATGTACCTTATTAGTGATACGTTGTACATTTAAGTGAAACACAGAGCACGTTTCTACAGTAATACTGTAGTTATTATAGTTATTGTTTATGCATGAAGGAACGAAAAAATTCATTAGTATATATACCCTCAGGCCATATTTCACAATTTAAAAGTCTTTGAGATGATGCCTCAGGAACTGCAATTTTAAATGAAGCATAACTTCTTGGATATCTCGAGTTTAATTGGTTAACCTCAATATTTTCATCAATAGTCTTCAGGTGATTTGTTAGTTCTTCCAAAGATGTATCAGGAGAACAGTTGGTTGTATGATAGTACTTCATCGTTTTCTTTACAGCCGCCTTCAGCCCATTTGTTTTGGAGTTATTAGTGCCTATTAAAACATTTTTTGGTTTTCTAAATGTTTTTGGTTTATTTGTACTGTTGTCATTTTCAGGACCAAGAATATGTTTGTCACTCAGTTTAATTATATTTGAGCATAAATTTGCAGCTTGTGCTTCGTGAACTGCTGCTGCTACATACATACAATGATCTACCCATATTACAAAAAACCAAGTTAGGTTGGTTAATATCTGGACCTATACACACCAAAAATAATACATATACAAGTTTGCACTGTTCTGCAACAAACAACTTGGACAACCAAATTTCCAAATTCTGGGAAATAGAAGAGTATCTAAAAACTGAATTTTTTTCTGATAAAGAAAATTATTGTGAACAACATTTTAAAGAAAATGTACGCAGATGGACGTTTGTTTTATCGTCACAATTCCACTCAAAAAATCAATTTCTGAGCTTGAAGACTCCAAAACTGCAGCAACTAACAGATTTTTGACATTGGAACATAAATTACTTAAAAACAATGATATGCGATTTCAATATCATTAATTTATCAAGGAATACATTGATCTTGGACACATGTGTTTGGCTGAAGATCAAAATGACAGGAATGGTTTCTTTCTTCCACTTCATTGTGTGCTTAAGGCTGACTCCACTACTACAAAACTTCGTGTCGTTTTTGATAGTTCAGCCAAAATCTCGACCGATGTTTCACCTAACGACCTTATGTTGGTCGGTCCAAACGTTCAATACAACTTATTTTACATATTACTCCGCTTTAGAAAACACAACTACGTGTTGAGCGCGGACGTAGCAAAAATTTATCGTCAGGTACTGGTACAAGAATCTCAACGTAACCTGCAAAAGATTCTATGGCGTTTCAACGCTAATGATAACATTCTAGTGTACACACTAAACACTGTGACATACGGATTAGCTTCTGTCTCTTTTCTTGCCATTAGATCACTTCAAGAGGCCGCTTATAGAAACATGAATAGATTTCCTAAAATTTCTAATATCATTTTATACGATTTTTATGTTGACGACCTTCTAACAGGTGCAGAAACTGTAAATGAAATTATACAAATTAAGGAACAAATTACTAGTCTCCTTTTAAGTTACGGATTTCCTTTGAAAAAATGGATTTCTAATGATCCAGCTTCATTATCCAATGTCAGCCAAACTCCTTTGCATATTGGTGAAGGTGACCAAACCAAAACACTTGGTTTACTTTGGAACCCCAATGTTGATTGCCTACAATACTCGATTAGTGGTTTAACTCATCCTTTTAGAATTACAAAAAGGCAAATCTTATCATCAACTGCACAGATTTTTGACCCTCTTGGACTTTTATCACCAGTTACTGTGACTGCTAAAATTATAGGTACTCCAAGAGCTTTGGAAGCTTAAAATATCATGGGATGAAACTGTACCTGCTGACTTACACACAACTTGTGCTAAATATTATACTCAATTACAATTACTGAATTCTATCAAAATACCACGACAAGTGTCTTGTCCAAACACAACCTCAGTACAATTGCACGGGTTCTGCGATGCATCACAGCACGCCTACGGTGCATCAATATACATACGTTGCTGTGATACATTGGGAAATTTTACTTCAAACTTGTACTGTGCCAAAACATGCGTCGCTCCACTCAAAACTTTAACTATTCCACGTTTGGAACTTTCTGGCGCTGTTTTACCGGCACAACTTGTTGACAAAGTATCTTCTTTTTGTCATTTTGACTTTCAAAACATTTACTACTGGATTGATTTCACAATTTGCCTATCATGGATCAATTCATCCCCACACATACTAAAGACCTTTGTCGCCAACAGAGTAGCAAACATTCAGCAACTGTCGAATGTCACTTCATGGTATTATGTAAATACTAAGGACAATCCTGCATTCTGCAGATTCTTACAGAAAACCTTCCAGAAGTTCGAAACACTAGTTGTTATTTTATTAACTATGTCAACAAATTCGACGCCCATACTATTAAGTTAATCAACAAACATTCTTTATTTTTGAAATTACAGCGTATATTCGCTTATGTTTAAAGGTATATAAGCAATCTTAAAATTCCTGAGAGCTCCTCTAGACAGCTGGGTCCTGTAACTGTCCTTGAACAGAATCAAGCGCTTTTCTTTTTGATTTGTACTATGCAGCAATACCATTTATCTGAAGATTATTACCAGTTGTCTTCTTCTAAACCTCTTAACAGAAGAAGCAAACTATCATCTTTACATCCTTTCTTCGACACCACACACAATGTAATACGTGTTGGAGGTCGACTACAACATTCCAATTTTGATTTTGGTAAAAGACACCCAATTATTCTCCCTTCAAAATGTTACCTTACAACCATCATAGCACGTTCTGAACACATTAGACTTTTACATACCGGACCACAAGCTCTCTTATCAGCTTTGAGAGGGATATTTTGGCCGCCAGGGGGACGCAATCTGGTAAAACGTGTGGTTCGTAAATGTATACAATGTTTTAAGGTAAATCCCAGACCTGAGTAACACCTCATGGAAAATCTTCCTGCTTCTCGTGTCACTCTCTCTCGGCCTTTTTCGATAACTGGATTAGACTATGCTGGTCCATTCCTATTGCGTGATCAAAAGGGTAGAAATTTCAAAACAACTAAAGCTTACGTTTCACTTTTCGTGTGCTTCGCTATTAAGGCTATCCACTTAGAGGTAGTCAGCGATCTCACAACTGAGTGCTTCCTAGCATGTCTACGTCGTTTCACTTCGAGACGTGGTAAATGCAATGAAATACATTCTAACAACGCGACTTCATTTGTAGGAGCTAACAATGAATTAACCACATTTCTTTCTTCTCGCGCGAATAGCATCGCAGATGGTTTATCACAAGATGGTATTCAGTGGAAGTTTATGCCTCCCAAATCTCTCCATTTTAGGGGTCTTTGGGAGTCTGGAATTAAATCCACAAAACAACATTTAAAAAGGGTAACGGGCAATGCTTTACTAACTTTTGAAGAATTTAATACAGTGTTGTGTCAGATAGAGGCCTGCCTTAATTCTCGTCCTCTTTGTCCTCTCTCTCGTGATTCCAATGACCTAACTCCTCTTACACCCGCACACTTTCTGATTGGAGACAACCTGATGGCGCTACCTGATAGCCAAATACTTGATCTGGCCGAAAACCGACTTTCAAGTTTTCAACGACTACAGTCAATGGTGCAGCATTTTTGGACTAGGTGGTCCAAGGAATATGTATCCTCCTTACAAGCCCGTATCAAGTGGAAGACCAATTTTCCACAATTAATTAACATTGGCGCTATGGTCCTTATTAAAGAAGATGGAATCCCACCACTAAAATGTCCACACAGTCCACACAGTCCACTACAAGCTTTCGAAGAGCAAAGACAATTTAAAAATATATTTGTGTATCGCTATTGAGCTGGTCTACACGTGCTGGATTTGTGTTTTCAGCTCCTAAATATCATACCAATCTCGCAAGTTCTTCAACCATAAGGTTATTCTTCGTCCTGGACTGCGTTTGCCTGGTATTTTTCCTTGCATGATATGTTGTAGCAACCTATATTTGGGACCTCTCATTACATGTCCGAAATACTCCAGCTTAAACAACATAAAAGTCATAATGATCTGGAGTCCATCACATGTTGGTATACTGGGAAACGAAAAAGCAGACCAAGCCGCTAAAGCAGCATGTTCTTCCAACTTAGCCTTTAAAGAGATCTAAATCCATACGGATCTGGAGTGCACATTCTGGGTGTTCTAAACAGTTTTGACAGTGTTCTTAAATTTTTAAAAGAAACAAGTTTAATTCAGTTAATATAAACAGTGCATAGTTATAAGCTTTATTGTTTTAATTTTTCCAAAAAAAAAATTGTTTTATATAAAATATGTATAACCTTGTAAACTGTGCCCGTATCAATGACCATAAGCTGTCGAGACACGTTAATTTTAAATAAAAAATAATAATAATACATAAATAATCTGTATAAACTGTGTTGTTATAAGGTTTATTCTTATTTCCTCAATAAATGATTTATTTTTCAACTTTTGCTTAAACTTACTTTAACATCAACAATAACGTTTCTCCTACTTCGAATGCAAATACTTCAATCAGCTCCACATTTTTATTAAAAGTGTTTCAAATTTTAATAAAGTTTTCCATTTTGTTACATCTACAAAAATCGCGGTTTTTGTTTGTTAATAAAAATTAAAATATGCTGTCTTTTCAATGATAGGTATATTTCTCCACATTGTATTTATAACATTGTGTTCTAAATTGACCTTTTGACCATCTGTACCATTAAGATAAATTAAATTTCATTCCTGAGACGTAGATACATAACTACATACTCAATTCAGAAAAAAAAATCCAACCAAAAATACAAATAAAAACAATAATATTAATTAGTTTCTCTTTACTTTTGAAACTTTGTTTTGGGTAAAACTAGTTTTCCTGTGACTTTTAGTACAAGGTTTTAAAAATAGATTCATAGCCATAAATAGCAATTTTACAACAATAACAATAAATAAAAGAACTACAGCAGCGACATCTACCAAATAATGTTGATACCAAGGAAGATTAACACCAGCAACTCTCAAATGGGTAGCTCCATTATAACGTATCACATATTCTATCCAGTAGACAGCTCTTTCCATAGGACCCATCGGGCGATCGTGGTATAAATTTGATCTATGTTTGGCATTTTCCTTAAATCTAAAAAAAAAATGAATTATTTATTAAGATAATTTTCAATCATTTCTCAACAAATACAAGTGTTTTCAGTAAAAAGTACCTGAATTTAATAATAATATATGAATATAAAACACGTTTTATATATACACATGAAATATGTTGGTAATCGATGAAAAATTTTGCTTTAAGTAAATAGCTTCTACAAAAGTTAGTCCCACCTCCTATTAACTCCTTCCCTCCTATTAACTTTTAAAGATATTAAAATCACTTATCATGTTTCACGGGATACCTTGCCTTGCCGGTTTGGAGGTCCTTCATATATATTTGTCTTTTCAATATCTATTGACCTAAAGAGTGCCACAATTTCTCAGTCTTCTTCTGAGCCATTTCTTTTTGTTTCCATGTACTGTATAGAATAAAATGCTATATAAAGGCTATGAACATTGCTTAAGTAACAATTTTCACCTGTGCCATGTACCACATGGGCACGAAGTGTTTTACCTCTAGAGTGGGAAGTGCATTAGTTATCGAAAATATTTCAAACAGTCGAGTTGTGCGACTTGGCTGTCTGGTGATTTGCTGATTAAGCATGTTGAGCATGTGTGCTTTATGTTTGTGCATGTGTACAAAATTGTATTTGTAATATGCAATAAACAGATCGATAGTTAATGAAGTAGCTCTCGTTTTTAGTTAATGACGTGGTTGTTTATTATAATTAAGAAAATGACGTGGAAACCTCAAATCGACGACAGTGCAGAGAAATACACAAAGAGATGTCGACTGCTCAAACGTCTCACAGCAACAAAGTGGGGCGCCACGCAAGATGTCCTGGTAGCAACATACAAAACCTATGTCCGGCCGATATTAGAATATGGGAGTGAAGCTACAATAATTGCGAAACACCACTTCCAAGTTTGAAGTCGCCCAGAACACTGCCATGCCGCTCATCCGCGATCTGTTTAATTTTCTCTATGTGTTCTGCAGCTCATGTGCGTTGAGTTCTGCAAAACCCGCTGCTCTATATAGATTTGAAAGTGGCGTTATATATAGGTTTGTTTGTGTGTTCTAATGTATTACAATTCAACTCCACAATTCGGTGTTTTCGCTTGAGTCATTGAGAGTGTCGTATAATTTGCGGAGCAATGTTTTGTGCCTTACTGTGTCATAGGCTGCTGTCAGATCTACAAAAGCAGCCCCTGTTATAAGTTTTTCTTCAAAGCCCTCTTCAATGTGTTCTGTTAATGCGAAGACTTGACCGGTGCAAGATTTGCCAGGTCTGAATCCTCCTTGTTCTGGGATGAGGTGCTTGTCGACATTTTTTTCTATTCTGGCGAGTATCAGTCTCTCGTATAGTTTAAAAAAGTAACACAATAGCCAAATAGGTCTGTAGCTACTGGGGTTTTTTGGATCAGTTCAGAATCTAGCATGTCTGCATACTTTTGCCAGTTTGCCTTTTTGAAGTTAAATCTCCTTCTGAATGGAATAGCTTGTGGTCTGACAATTGGGAAGATATTTATACCAATTGGTCTATGCTGAGTTTTTGGTATGGGGCCATATACTACTTTGGTACATCGGTCTTCGAGGTTGTTGCTTGAAAAACAGATATCCGGGTTATATCCTCTTTTCCAAATTTTGCTCTGAAAAGATGGTGGAAGTTTAGGATCATGGATTAACATAAGGCCACTCGTTTCGGCCCATGCTTCTAATGCATCTCCATTTGCGTCCGAATCTGCATAACTCCAGAGTAAACTGTGACTGTTAAAGTCTCCCAGTACAAGCTAATTGGCTTGTGATTAAAAATTAGTTGGGGATGAAAATATAAAAGGCTGGTTTGGAGGCTTGTATACCGAGGTTATTGTGTGGTTATTTACCGATCTCAGTGGTTATTATTTCTATACCGTGTACATTTGTCGTTTCCACAGATGAGACTATGGTTTGAGTTCTCACAAATACAGCGCTCCCATACTTATTGTGTGGTATCTCCGCAATTAGTTTCATACCAGAGACTTTCGGTCTCGCTACAGTTAGGTCTCTGTGGGTTTCCTGGATGCACAATACCTCACATTTCGTGTTCTTGCAGAATTCTGAGAAGATGTCTTATTTGGCTGTAGTGATGCCCTCGATATTTATGCTCGCTACTCTCAGTGTTAGCTCTGAGAAGAACGGTTGTGGCTTGATCTTTGCCATCTGATTTGGTTTGGTCCGGTTTTGGAAAGATTAGCCGTCTACTAGTTAACGTTTCCAAGGGACGCCGTCAATAATGTTTACTTTGCAGTTGATGTGGCAATATTAATCTCGTGGAGGCTCCTTCCTTATATCTCAGCACGTAAAGTAAATAAATATCTCATAACTACCAAATATTTTATATGTACCAATTATTGTATGCATCCCATTCTTTTATAATGCAATGTGCTAACGTGAATAATAAATATACGAAATTTCCAGGCCTGGGAACCACCTCTAAATATTCACCGATTTTCATGAAATTTTGCACATTTAAGTTTTATGTATAATAGAACACTTTTTGGGGGTGAGAGGTTAAATTCTCAAACTTTAAATTTTTTCACATATTTTGAGGACCACCCTATTATATATGTTTATTAAAATTATGTTCTTATGGATGAGTATGGTAAAAAATTAGACTTTTCTATTATATTTTTCAACACATATCCAGTAACCAACTTGTTCGAATACTTTATATATAATAATAATGTATAAACCTTACGTTGGATCGTTAAGTAGCTTCGACGTATATTCAAGCAGCTTGGACTCTGAAAAATCTTCGTCATGGAACGATATAGTAAGTCCGTACTTATCCAATACAACATTTTGCGCATTCATCGCTTGGTCTCCAAAAATTGGTACCACAAGAACCGGGACTCCATTGTAGACAGTTTCCGTTAAACTGAGAATGCCTCCGTGAGTGATAAATAGTTTAACATTAGGATGAGCTAAAACAAGTTTATTATTTAAATATAAGGTAAGTAATAAAGTAACATATACACTATGTAAATAATAAAAGGCCAGAAAAGCTTTACTTCTTAAGAACTTCTATTTAGAAGTAGAAAACAAATTTTACGAAGGATTAACCAAAGTAATTTACAACATTCTAACTAGGATATTAAAACAATATCAGGTCATACCTTTCAATACGAAAGTTGGTAAAAAAGAATCCTATAGGATCACCACAAGAAACAAGAGTCTATGAGAGAAAGATCAACAAAAACGAGAAAAAGATTATACAACTACCAATCCAACATGATATGCAAATGGTGGATACATATTTTGAATAAAAGACATTCTAAGACTAGATAGGAGCCAGCAGATGAGAACATAAAAAACCAGTTAAACCATGTATTAGTTCAACTAAAATAAATATTTTCACTTGGTTTGCTCTTAATGAGCCATGGGCTTCAGATTTTTGTGAGTTTAATAGGACAGCTGATCTAGTCATAATTAATGCGTATAATACGAAATAAATGGAAGGACTTGAAATTTTAAGTCCCAATATGATAATTAAAGTATTAAGAAGACTCTTTAGTACCTTTGGCATAGCTATATCGTCGGATAACGGCAGATCATTTTTATGTGGAAAAAATTTCTAGTTGAAAAATAATACTAAACATATCACTCACCAGCTTCTAGCGGTGCAGCTGAAAACACTGTTAAAATAATTGTAAAATCCAGAGCGAAGAATTTTATGTATTATAAGTATGTCTAAATATATATTTTTAATGTCATAAAGCAGTTTAAAAGTACGCGCGCCGTTATACGCTGAACGCTAGGGATAGCGGTTTTTGACAAAACACCGGTTTTCGGTTATACCGGTTTTTTTTTTGCTTACGGTTTAACCTGGCAGTTATAACCGGCCAGAAAACCCGGTTTTTCCAAAAACCGGTTTTCGGTTTTTTTAATTCAATAGATTAGAAAGTTACATTTATAATGCACTTTAGTTTGTGATACTACATTCGACTCGATATCAATATGATCAAAATTAGTACTATCGAAAGAACATAAATACCAATGTAAATACAACAAAATTTTTTGTGTTTTGTGAGAAAAAAATTCCCCAACAAAAATTTCCCAGACTCTTTGAAATGAGATTTAAAGAAAATAATATCAACATAAATATTTTACTTAAAAATAAATTGGATAATTTATCATGTATTACTTTTAACTCATTTACGACTTCCGGTATGGGTATAAATCGTTTTGAAAACGTAGGCAAATCCTTGGAGATTCGTATTCGTAATCGGTAATTTGATATTCATAGTCATTATTTTTGGTAATCAGAAAAAGCCATTTACCAACTTTCAATGTCAAGTCAAGTGTAAAAAATAGATGATGTATGTAAATACCAGATCAATTCTTATGTAAAAATATTATGATTACAAATACTTTTTCAACGAAATACTATAATAAAATTTAATTGTTACTTCGAAATAACCGAAAACCGGTATATTTTCGTAAAATCTGTTAAAAATAAATGCAAAAAATAACGGTATATAATATTACTGTTATAACCTTTAAATAATTTCAATATTACACAAACTCAGATGTTATTAAATTTTAATATGTTTAATTAGTTTAATTAAATCTCAATATATTTGCTTTCATTACCAATTCTACAATACATGTCAAAATACTACAATACATAGTTAATCTACAGTTATTATGTTGATATACAGCAATACATATAAAATTATTCTGTTTGTGGGACACTAGCAGAAGGGGTTTTTATAAAAATGCAAGTAAACTAGGAAAAATTGAAAAAAGAAATGGCTAAGGCAAAATGAAACTGTCTTACATTGGTAGGTCTACTTGTAGACAAAGTAAATTTAAACATTTGCCACTTCGGGCACCAATTGAAAAATTAAAACAGGCCAGTCACTTTGGCATCACATGTAACAATTTAAAATATTCCAGTCACGTTGGTGGGAGACAGGTGTATTATTAGTAACAAGCCACACATGTTGAGTGCTAGTTGTAGCAATTTAACTTGCCTACCACGTTGGGAGTCACTTATAACAATATATAATTGCTTACAGAGGATTGAAAGGGGGAACTGAACAATTTCTGGGTTTAAGATATGGTAAGCAAATAAACTTTACGAACGGCTACTCGTATTTCGGTTGGAGAACTGGGTCGTGGATAAGGTTTCTTAATTTGAGGGACTGGGGCACTAACTACAGAAAAATAAAAAAAAATCCACAAGGAAAACAATTCCTGTAGCTGGCTGTATACCACGTATCACAAAAAGAGGTTAGTCTTCTTAAATGGGTATATTTATTTTAAAAAATCCTTAAAAGGGCTACATAAAAAAAACAAACGTTTTCGGACTAAACAGTCCATCATCAGGTTTAAATTTTATAATTGCTAGGTTAAAATGTCTGAGCCACCAAAATACATGGGTAAAAACCCTTTAAATTACATATAGTTGTAAAAGATTATACATCATGTTGTTAAAAAACTGTGATGTTCAGTATTAAATTAAATATGACTTCAGGTAACATACATGGCTAAAGTGAGTTCCAGAGACGGAGAGTAAACCTCTTCACACGGAGAACAGCTGGTAACTACAGTAATCAACTGTAAGCTTAAAGTAATGTATGACTCTGCTCGATATTTTTGGATTTATTAATATTAACAATTTTTCGACAGACGTACATAACAAGGTAGATTCTGCAAATGCAATTAAATTCAATAGATTAAACAATAAACTTATCAATCTTATCCCGTTTAAACCTTTGCATGATCATGCTTCTCATGAAAGAAATAACAAAAATATTTCAGAATTTAAATTTTATCCTAGAATAAAAAACCTTACCGATATCAACTTTAAAGAAGATGACATTAAACTTCTAAACTACATACTACCAGTTTGTACCTACGGCTTGGAGACAGTAGCCCTTACCAAAAAATCTGCTAAAAAATTATAAACAACGCAAACAGCAATGAAACGAATCATGCTTGGAATATCACTAAGAGACAAGATTAGAAACACCGAGATAAGACGTAGAATAAAGATTAGGGATATTGTGGAAGAAATTACAAAAATGATATGGCCTGGGCAGGTCACGTAGCCCGATATAATGACAACAGGTAGACTCGGAGAATTCTAGAATGGAGACCAAGGACAACAACAAGAAGCATGGGAAGATCTCAAAAAAGATGGGTAGATGACATAAGAGCAGTGGCAGGCAAACAGTGGATTAGATTGGCGATAGATAGAGAAAGATGGAAGAATTGGGAGAGCCTACATTCAGGAGTGGATGGAAAATGGTTGACAAAGAAGAGAAGAAGAAGTCAATCAAACATAAAATTTCTAGACACAACCTTATTTTTTATCTAAAGAGATTTATATCCAAACTCAAAGATCATGCCAAAAAACATTCTGATTTTCTTTCTAATCATGATGCTCCCTACAGCAAACTACCTGGTAACCCTTTTATTTCAAGGTTGTACGGTTTGCCCAAGATTCATAAAGTTGGAATTCCCATTCGTCCGTTTTCAGTTGCATTAACACTCCAGTGTCTATTTGATATAAATTCAAGTTAATACTAAAAAATCTAATTAATTTTACTCCTCATTTTACTGTAAAAAATTCATATTAATTGGTTGATAAACTTCAACTCATTAGTCTCAATCCTGACATTACTATGCTTCCAAGTCAAGTCAAGTCCAGTCAAGTCAAATTTATTGATCGCATGCGACAGTATACAAGGTGCATGTATGAGACAAGTAAAAGTTACAAACATACATCTTAAAAGTATATAAATTAATAAGCACAATAAAACATACTTAAAAGTTATTCTTTTGACGTTAGCAATTTATTTACTTCAGTACCCAAACTCGAAACTCTTAGTCTGGTAAAAACATTTCTAGAATTATAACTTTGAGTTCCGAAAACGAGTTTTTAAAAATTATTTTATTTGGAAAATACAAATTTACAAATTATGTAGACAAAAGTTCTTAAACAAAAGTTAAACAAAAGTTATGAAGCAAAAGTTATGAAGCAAAAAGTTAAACAGAAGTTAAAACAGAAGTTATCGTAATTGAAATGTCCCTCTATTTATAATATAGTATTGCGTAGTTTCTATTGTCCTACAATGTGCAGATTCTGTGGAATCCAGTGGCGTAACTCCTCCCTCACTGAGTCCGAAAAATAATGGAATTATTTTTGGGATGCTGGTTTGTGGAATCTTCTTCAATGCCGGAATCTTCTTGTAATTCTATTTCATGCTCGTTCCGTTGTTTTGATCTTCTTTGTTTAATAATATATAGAATGATCAAAATTAGAATAACTGCTATGACTGAGGTGGTCACCAATGGAGTGGTATGTGAAGGAATATTTGTGTCTCTAATTGGTACTAACTGTTTGGCCATATTATTAATTGCATAAAGATTCTCAAAGTCAATTTTGGTAATGTTATGGCTCTGGAATTTTTGTATGTTTTCTGTAGAAAAATATTTTATTTTTGGTAAAATTAGAGCTTTTCCTCTATGAATTTTGATATTGTTATTGAATTTCAATTGGTTGATTATCACTTCACAATTTTCTGGTATACTGATGAGAGATGGACTGTGTACTTCAAAAATTTGGTCTCTCTTGCACTTTGATTGGACTCGTTCTGATGTCGATGGCATTATCAATACTTCGTTATTAGTTACTTGTTCGATAATGGATTCTTGAAGAGTGACTTCTGTGGTAAAACATTGGGATGAACTTTGACCATTGAGGAAACGTAAGGTGCAATTGTCTTGTAGTATGGTATCTTCTTTACAATAATATGTTTCTTCTAAAATGGGACATTCTTCTTTTTGTAGGTGCGTCTCGTCAGAGATTCGTGCCAAATAAGGGTATGTGGGAGTGAACATCTTGTTCTTTTGAATTATTGGGTAAATATGATAAAAATCAAGGACATTTGGTTTTAGGATAGGAATGTGAGTA